GGATGGTGTTTGAATATTATTAGTGTTAAAAGGAAACAGATTTACTGATTTTGACAACTGTATTGTGGTTATATAAGAAAATGTCCTTGTTTTAAGGCAACATGCCCTAAAGTATTTAGGGCAGAGTCTTAAAGTACTCACAAATGATTCAGAAAAAAATAAGAAAGAGGGAGGGGGAGGCAAATGGGTACAAAATGTGAACAATGGGCGGAATCTGGGTGAAGAGTCTAGGGGAGTTCTTTGTACTATTACAGCAACTTTGCTGGGTACATTAAAATTATAACAAAATAAAAAGTTATCAAAAAATGAAAGGGAGTCAGAGCTGAAGCTTTAAATGATTACTCTTAACACATTTATTCTGTCCATATCTGCCATCCCCAACTCTGCTCAATTCCAGGTGCTGATGTCCCCACTCTGCAGGCTTAGTTGCCTGTCAAGCGAGTCCTCATCAGAGTGGGGAACTGTGTCCCACCATCAGAGATGGGTTAGAGCTGTCCCTGGCTGCCCCTGTGTCCAGCTATCTGCTATATGGGGAGGAGGGACACAGTCAGGAAGGGCAATGCCCCAGGGCTACGAAGCCACAGCCTTCCCCAATGCCACCTTGTGTAGTCGGCCCATATACCTGGGCCTCACAGACTTTTCCTTGACAAGTGGGGACTGGAGCTGGATCCTAAATGCAGTCCACATCCTGCCTTGTCCTTCCCATGCCCCTCTTTCCTAGAGGACATTGGGGTTCCCCTTGTCTCCAATACTGTCCTGGATGAAGTCTGAATTTTCTAGTCTTCTTTGGCACTGTCATTTTGATGCTGGCCACTGCCATCAGAGGTCAACCTTACAGATTCTGTAACTAGGTTTCCTGGAGAGTGCATTCTGGCTTCCTTGAGTTCTCCGCACTGGACTGCCTTGAGGTCCAAGGGTGCCATATATCCAACCTCCAATGTTAACAGAGGCCAAGGGTCTAACTGTCCTATGCAGATGAATCGTTGATCATACACAACACTCAACTGTCAATTCCCCAGTCAGAAAATAGCTACATTGGGCTTCTCTGTAAATTATCTCTATAGCACTAGAAGGAGAGAAATGACCTTTCTACTAGCCAACACAAAATCTAAACAGTATGACACAGGTGTGCCATGCTTATGAAACCCCGAAGTTAAAAACAGCAGTGTGTGTTTTTCAATATTTGTAATGTAGAGGTATTCCTAATTTTATTGCATGTTAAAAAAAATTCCTGATGTTTTAAAAATAGCATTATGTTTTGCCTCAATCAATATACACATAGCTTTTAAAAACCATCTATTGAATACAGTGAAGTATATTTAAATTGGGGGGGGGATAAAGAACAATTTGGAGAGGAGAAAACTTTAGAAAGTGGAGGAGTGCCTTATTATTATTAAAAACTCCTTAGAAGTTTCACCAGGAGAGAAATGACTGCCAACCACTTTCCCACCCACACACATGGTGCACAGATCATCTGAACAAAAAGGATTCTCCTTCCTTCGGCAAAAGCGTCAGAAGCTGAAAATGACACCTTTTTTTTTTTTTGAGACTGGCCGCACCGCGCTCAGCCAGTGGCTCAGCTAGTGAGCGCTGTGAGTGCACCGATCATCCCTATATAGGATCTGAACCCGCGGCGGGAGTGCTGCAGCGCTCCCAGCACCGCACTCTCCCGAGTGCGCCACGGGCTCGGCCCTGAAAATGGCACCTTTAAGGACAGAGGTGGGGACATCTCATAAGGTGGACAGCCAGATGAGGGACTCTGANGGCGGGAGTGCTGCAGCGCTCCCAGCACCGCACTCTCCCGAGTGCGCCACGGGCTCGGCCCTGAAAATGGCACCTTTAAGGACAGAGGTGGGGACATCTCATAAGGTGGACAGCCAGATGAGGGACTCTGAATCAGGACCCCAGGGCAGAGGGGAATCTTGCCTGAACCTTTTCTGCCCACCCCCATGCTGCTGAATAACAACATCCTGGTTTGTCCTCTGCACGCTCTCCCAAGCAGAAGTGGGCTGATGCAGCCTGTCTGCATCCCAAGGAGCTGGGACGGCTGCCCAGTGCTTCTTTGGCTCACCTATGGGCGTCAGGAGCTGGCCAAGGGTGGGGCGGTGAAGGGCAGGGGCACGGGATTTGTATCTGAGGGAGAATGCTGACTTCAGGAGCCCGTCCAAATGGATCCACAGACTGAGGTGGGCCTGAGGAAAAATATTAGGGGGGAAGAAGTGGGAGAGAAAGAAGCAAGCTCCCAAGATTCTCAGGGAGTGGAGAGGAGGCAGCCTGGGCAATACTGAGTGGGAGGCGGTGTGCCACGTGCGCAGGTGGCACACACTGGAGGGTGTAGGATCCAGCAGCCATGACGGACTTCTTCCTGGCTGCTCCTTCCTTAGGCTTGGACCTCATCCCCATCTGGATATTTACCATGAGCTCCTCCTGCCTTCCAGATCTTTGGCTCCTGCTCTGAGATTCTTCTGTCTTGATGTTTGACCCTCCAAATCCTCCAAGCTCCTGCATGGAAATCCACCTGGTACCCTCTTCTCAGCTCAGAACCACTTCTGGCCAGTGGCTCTCCTGCTGCTCCTACCCCAGACCAGACTCGACACAGCTGTGCTCAGGGTTCAGCCTGTGGGCCACCCCAAGGATGTTGCCAAGTAACACGGTCCCTCCTCCTGCTGCCCAGTCACCACGAAACCTCTCATCCCCAACCTCGTCATGCTGCCAGCCAGGTCTCCCATCTGGAGCTTGTCAGAAAGTGCTTTGCAAGCCATAACGCATTGGACATATGTTGAGTACTGAATATAGTCACTATGCTGTGAGGCTGAGACATGGAGTGAAAAAGGCAGTTCCAAAGATGAGAACTCCCATTCAAAAGCATCCTGGAGAATTAATTTATTCAAATATGGATGGTATTCAAGAGAATACTAACTGTGGTGTAGGGTGTTTTTTTGGGGTGATAAAAAATGTTCTAAAACTGGTTGTGGTGGTGGTTGCATAACATGCTAAAAAGCTATTGAATTGTACACTGTAAGTGGGCAAATTGTATGGTATGTAAGTTATATTTCAATAAAACTGTTATAAAAAAAACCAGAACTCACTGAGTGGACTTCAGGATGTGAACCTAATTTGCCCAATGTATCCTCCTGGCTGACAGAGGGAGGGATCAGAAAAAAGATGCAGGAAAGCCATTTTTCGGAAATTCCGGTTGGGTTCTGATGAAGCATATCCACTGATTTTACCTGCATGAAGCCCACATCTTACCATCCCTCCTGGAGGAAGCTCGCCACACAGAAACACTGCATGCCAATGGGGCCGGCCCGGTGGCGCACTGGATAGTGCGCCGCTTGGGAAGCGTGGCGGCGCTCCCTCCCGAGGGTTCCGATCCCACATACAGACCGGTTCCCGCTCACTGGCTGAGCGAGGCGCGGGAGCAACGCCGAGGGTTGCAATCCCGTTGCCGGTCCCCAGTCTGGTACGGGGGCAACACTGAGGGTTGCGATCCGTTGCTGGACACGGAAAAAGACAAAAGACAAAAAAAAAAAAAAAGAAACACTGCATGCCAAGAGAACTGGCATGTGTAGGTTTCCCGGTGCCTATAGCATGTGGAGCTATGCTTACTTTTTTTCAGCATTTGATTTTTCCAAACAAAAGAAGAAACCAAGCACACAAAACCCAACAGTGAATTGATGAGCGACTTTGCATATATATAGAATTTCCAGGCAATAAAGCATACTCTCCAACAAGCTTGTCTTTGTTTGGAGGAAAATTATGCTTTGCTTTCTCACAATGCCCTCTGCCAAGCCCAGTGTGCCCTCCTAATATAAATTAGTCTTTCAGCTGTATGATCATTCTAGAAGCAACTAATTTTCACTATGCTCATTCAGGGAACTTAACCAAAACTTGAATTTTTTGGTGGGGCGGCTGTGGTGGCAAAACCACACAGTAAGGTTTTCTGCTTTGCCACAATCTTAAGATTAATCATTTTCTGAACATCTATAAATATCATTTTGATTACGTGACTGGCTTTAAATAGCTGTTTATGAAAAACAATACTGTAAGTCTGAAAAGAAATATGCCTAATATAAAATGTGAGCAAGAGAATTAAACACAATTGCACAATTATATTCTAATTTGTAGATTATAATTCAGTGCACCATAATGATGTATCCTGAAAATTATGTTATCTCAGAAAAAACAGATAAAAAACTGATTAAGATAACTTTTCTTATAAATCTTACAATGCTTCATTCAATAGGTAAGTTCATTCTGTCCTATCTCCATAAGAACATTTCAAATCAAAGACCTCGAAAGAAAGGTTAATAAATCTTGATGGTTTTAATGGCCACAGTTTTCCCATTGTAGATTAAATTCATGCAATCTTTGTGAAGTTCAGCAGTTTACATAATCTAGCAAAAGAATGAAAGATTTAAAAATAATGCTTAAAATTTTAATTTCTCTGAGAACATCTTAATGGTCTCTCTCGCGCCTGGTTTATTTCTCAGAAAAGACTCCATTTTCACTATAATTTTCTTAAGTAAATTTGTGATAAAAGAGGATACTATGGCAGTGGGGAACGTGAGGAATCTAATCAAAAATGGGTTAATTTTTAAAATTATCTTAATAATATAGCTCATCCTATAAATTCATAATATGGACAAACCAATAATTTTGAATGGCTTTAGGGCAAATTTGGAGGTTTGGGGTTTTTTAGTTTTTTGTTTTGAGAAAGTGTTATTTTTATCCCTCCCCTCCCCAACTCCCTCATATACAAAAATGAGGTATTCATTTATGAATGCCCTTGGTGACCTGAGCATATATTTGGGGGGACAAATTACGTCAGCATAAAATTCGGGTTTGGCAGTCTCAGAGAACCAAATTAGAAGTAGATTTGCTATATATAAAATTAAACCATTTTAGCAATAACTAAATTGACAGAAAATTATGCACAATAACTCAGGAAATACGCCTTTTTTGGCATGTTCATGTAAGTGACAAATCAACACATGCAGTTCATTTCAGGTAATGTGTGCATTGTGATCTTCTCCCAAAGCAGGGAGTTGGTGGAAAAGAAAGCTCTCAACCCCCAGATGGGGAGGCTGCAAAGGTGGAAAAAGAAGGCCTATGATTCCTTGAGATATCCACTGGCTCTATTTTCTAGCAGTTACCAATGACAAGTTCCAGAAAGCCAAACTTTTAACTAAATACTATAGAGAGGCTTCCAGACAAGATGACAGAATAGATGGCCCCCAGTGTCACTCTCTCCCACAAATCAACCAATTACAACTATTAAAAAGCAATGACAGCCAAGCTGGGACCACCAGAGCTCAGGGGAAGAGGAGGAGAGACCTATGGAGTACAAGAAGGTGGGAGAAGCCACGATGAGAGAAAGAAAAGAACACTCCAACCATTTCAAATCCCAACTTCTTCCAGGCTGGAGCTGCTGAGCACACTGAGCAAGAGCTGGCAAAAGCCACAGCTGTGCCCTTTGGATGGAGTTGCTTGGAGGCAGCAGGGGAGAAGAGGGCCTTGGTGGCCCTCAGGCCATCAAGACCACAAACAAGGTCCCTGTGGACCCACATAGGAGAGAGGAGCCACAATAACTGAAAAAAGGAGCCACTCAGAGGCCGGTGAGTCATCACAAGGGACCGGCATATGGCCTGTCCCATGGGAAGTGTTTGGAGCATGGGCGGTAGCACAGATGGGCCCACTGGGGGAACACCGGGGCACAGCATGGACAGCTGATCTGCTCACCAATCAGCACAGGCCCACTCTGTGTAGACTGGTTGGGAATAAGAACTGTAGGGTGTGCAGTTTGCTGAAAAGACTCAGGCCCAGACCAGAGTTTTCACACAACCCAGGTGTACCAGACCTCACAAGAGCCAGAAGTACCTATAAAGTCAACCATTAAAACCTGAGCTGCACAAAAAACCTTCCCCAGGGACTCAGCAGCAAAGCAGCAATTTAGCTCAACTCCAGGGCTCAAGTGCTGGTCCCACAGGAAGTTCCCCCATTTTAGAAGTAAGCAAAGGACAACAAATTAGTTCCAGTTTAAGTGGTGGGAACAGCAAATAATCTAACATAGAACTGAAAGAAAAAACAAAGTACCCACTGGGGCCTGAGGCATGAAGCTGGTGAATGGGCCCTCCACCCACAACTGGGCACAACACCAGCACCATGGGGCCCACCCAGGGTCCTGAGGTATGGAGCCAGGTACCACCGGCAACTCGGGAAGGAGTATGCCAAAAACATCTCCTCCATGTGGGTGGCCCATGACAGCCACCACAATAACCACAGCTGCCACAAAAGTGGCTAGATGTCACAACCACCATGCAGAAGGTCTACCAGCCACTGGAGTGCATTGACACAAGGAGAGTCACAGCAGAGACCAAAGAAAAGAAGAGGATGTCTCTCTCCACAAAGCCCATTCTAGAGAGACAGAGTATTACTGGGAGGCACCTGCTTCCACGTGAGAACATCCATGATGAAGTGGCAAATGAACGTAAAAAGGCCCATGCACAAATCTGTATAGGGGACCCATCAGACTTTAATGTTCTATATTACTGGGAGGCACCTGCTTCCACGTGAGAACATCCATGATGAAGTGGCGAATGAACGTAAAAAGGCCCATGCACAAATCTGTATAGGGGACCCATCAGACTTTAATGTTCTCTGCAGGCCACCCCACACCAAACGGGGAGTGAATGTGTTCCTTAGAGACAAGCAAGAAGGTAGCACAGTGGTCTGTGGGGGCAAGGCCATGGACACCCTGGCAATCACCAACCGACAGTTTTGAGGCCTTGCCCATGATATGCCCATTGTACACACAGAGACGTTTGCTCTCATTCTTTATGCTTTTAATTCAAGAATGAGGAAGAGGTCTTTGCATGGAACAATGAGGTAAAACAGGGGTTTTCAAGCAGCATCTTTACCAAGGAGTTGGACAGAATCTTCTGCTGACTTGGACCTAAAAATCAGACTGTGGCATTGTAAGATACCCTTGGAAGTGAAAGCACACTGTGGTGGCAGGAGGGCAGGCACTGCAGCCTGCCACAGGGCAGGAGTTTAGCCACAGCAGGACCTGCCCCTGGCTCAGCACACCACATTTCAGTAAAGGTGCTTTCGATTTATACTTCAAGACCTGCAGGCATTCCTGGAGCCCTTTCTTCTGAAGAAGACAAAGAAAGTTGAGATTTGCCCAGAATAAATGGATCTTATTAGATATGACAGTGGCTAACACCCTATATCCCTGAGGCCCTGACTAAATCAAGAGAATTGTTTTTAAAAAATGGAAGTAAAATTGTTATAATATTTTTTTTAAAAAAAAAGAAAAGCCTTGAATCCTGAGCCAAAAGCCTTGTGTTCAGCTCCCACAATTCGGGGCAGCAACCTGTGTATCTGCTTTATCAAGTGCAAACTACAGGAGTGCAGTAGTTGTCGTGTGCCCGTGATGTTTCAGGATAGTGCTCCTTGTTGCTTCACCGACTTTTGCTGTCTTTCACCCACTTCATGAAGCAGATACTTTCATCTCCTGACTGTATGTTAGCCTCAAACTGGGCCCCAGCTGCTTGCACTTCTCCCCAGGACTGAGCTGTGTGTGCCTCTCTGCCTCCGCTCGGGCTTCTTCCCGTCTGGTAACGCCCCCCTTGTCTGTCCTTCTGGCTCCTTCCCACTCATCTGTTATAGCTCCTAACCGTGGGTGCACAACTGACATGTCCGTGGTCCTCACTGTTCTCTTGGCGGACTCCTAGCACTGCGATCTCTAATGGATCACACACTTCCATTAGATAGGGACCACACGTTACTTCTTTTTCTAGCACCAGCCTGTCTACAGCATGATGCCTGACAAACAGAGGCCTCTGTAAAAGTTTACTGGCTAGATAAATATATAATGAGATGCCATAAATATATGGGAAATTTTTCAACATAAAGAATATTTTAATTTTCTGGTTTTCTTTCAGTGGTCAAAGTTCAAAGACCTGCACTCTAAGGATTGCCATAGTTAAACCAGACATACAGAAGGCTGGCATATATGCATGCTAGCCTGGCCAACACTGCATCCTGTTCATTTTGGGACATCTCTTAATTTGTATTCTTCTGAAAGCAGAACTTGAAACTACAACTTGATGCAGCTCAATGGGAGGCGATCCCAGGAAGCAGGAGTGAAAGGCAGGAAAAGAGAGACAGAGAAGGAGGAAAAGAAAAGAAAATTTCTTCTGTTAAGAAGCTGATTATCCCACTGGGGACTCTTGTCTAATTCATCTCAGAGTTGTGCCTCCAAAGAAAAGCATCTGGGGCACTTATCTGCAGACTCCCATCCTCATTATTTGAGGGGTACCTCCAGAGGCATTAACTCCTCCCCTTCCTTAAAATTCCCAACCATTCTGAGTTTAGGCTGTGCAAGTTCTGGTAATTTAAGAAAAAAGTCCTGTCTACGGCCATACCACCCTGAACACGCCTGATCTCACTGGATCTTGGAAGAAAAAGTCCTGAGGTAGAGAAGCAGACAGATTGGGAATACTGAGGTGGAGCACTGATGTGTACAGGAACTGTGCATCACAGCTGCACCTGAAATGGAAGGTAGGCCACAGTACCTATTTAACTATTGATAAGGAAAGGGCAGCAGAAGTAAATATTTAAGGTCTTACATCATAGTTACACAACTAAATAAAAAACTTGATTCCAAAACACAATCCACCAATCAATGAAAACAAACTGCTTGAAGAGGCCATGAGGATATCCTCGCTGGACCTCAGCAACAGAGCTCCCAGGAAAACGGGTGACTTTGCCAGCTGATGATCAGGAGTATCCAAGACTTATCCACCCCCTCCCACCAGCCCTGCTCCCCTCTTCCACCTCTCCTACCGCCCCCACCATTCGCGAGCAAAGCAGGCCTGAAAACGGCCACACAGGCTTCCTCATGCACTGTGACTTCTTTCCACCATGTAAGTCCCTCCCACCAGCCCTGCTCCCCTCTTCCACCTCTCCTACCGCCCCCACCATTCGCGAGCAAAACAGGCCTGAAAACGGCCACACAGGCTTCCTCATGCACTGTGACTTCTTTCCACCATGTAAGTGGGTCGTGATGGTCATTTTATAAACATGGGTGAAGGGAGCAGTAAAGAGGAAAGGAGGAGGACTTGCTAGCCTGAGTAAGTCCAATCATTTAAAGATAGCTCTCCCTTCTCTCTCTTGGGCTCTGATAATGGATTAAAAAGAATTCCATCTCCTATGTTGGGGGAACCTAGTACACTGACAGCAAACTTCTACCACTTAGCTTTCTCCAAACATATTGGAGGAATACAAGGATAAAGCTCCTTGTATTCATTGTCACCAGAATTTTCTATGTCAACTGGAGAAAGGACAAAGCAACCCCCAACTCCAATGTTGTTTTTACACCTGAGCCTCTGTGCTGCGCTGTTTTCTTGGTACGGATGTCAGGCGCTGGCCATGCCTCCTCCCACAGCATGCGCCCCTCCATTGATGTCCCCATCTGCCTCTGATCCCATCGCACAGAATGACTGTCAGTCAATCTCACATTTCCCACATGAACCTTTTAGCTTAATACCAGCCCAGGATTTTGAGATAAACAGATGTCATGGCAGTGAGACGAAAAAAAGGACATAAAAGCAGAAATCAAAGCTGGCTTTTAAAGAAAATGTCTCTTAAAAAGGAGGAGAAGGAAGGGGAGAAAAATACACATTGAGAGATTGGGAGAAATTAGAAGGCATGAGGGACACACACCTGAAATTTAATATCTGACAGATGTCACAGGAGAATGTTTGTTAAGATGGTAAGTACCAGCCATTAAATTCACCAGAGGAAGAAAAGTAAAACCAGAGCTGGCTGCCTGCGTGTGCACCCTGTGCAGTCACATGGAACCCTGTGTTCAGAAGGGCCCCATGCTTAGTTTAGTGCTGTGCTGTTGCCATCTTGAAATTCTTAATAATTTTTGAACATAGAGCCCCATGCTTTCATTTTGTACCGGATCCCCCAAATTATGTATCCAGTCCTGAGTAAAAGAATAAAAACTGTGAGACAAGATCTCTCCTCTGCAGGCTAAAGCATAGTAAGGAATTATCTGCTGGGTATTCTCAAAGCACTCCCTGCTTCTCACTGATTCATTTTAAGATGTCTCTGTTGGTTTAATAATTTTAGGAATTTCAGACTGCTGACATACTAGATGGAGGAGGGAATCAGTAATCTGACTGGTTAGAGCCAAGAGAGACATTAATGAATGAAGTTCTAAATGGAAGAAATTCTAAACCCCCTCCACTAGTTTCCTTATTTGGGGAAGTTGGGAAATAATAGCTCAAAAAATAAACAATGATCAATGATCACTCTACAAAATAAGGCTCACTTATATAAAGCATAACTTCCTGTGAAGAAAACTCTTTCAGAGTCTCCTGTAGTACAGGCCAACCTCCACTAGTTTCCTTATTTGGGGAAGTTGGGAAATAATAGCTCAAAAAATAAACAATGATCAATGATCACTCTACAAAATAAGGCTCATTTATATAAAGCATAACTTCCTGTGAAGAAAACTCTTTCAGAGTCTCCTGTAGTACAGGCCAACTAGAAATCTACTTTCCTGAAAAAAAAAAAAAAAAAAAAAAAAAAAAAAGCAGAAGAGGCAACAAAAGGTCACCCAATAGTCCCCAAGGACAACTGTGGAAATGGCTGTCACCAGTCATCCAAGTCCTGACTCTGAGCCTGGGCTCTTATCAGTTATCAAACTTCCTCTCCTTAAATAGAGCCACTACAAATGTCACACCAGATTTCCTCGGACAAAATCAAGGATCTGGCGTCAGAACCTCGAGTGCCAAAATAAAAACCCTCTTAATTACTTTCAGTTAATGTTGGACCTCCCTTCCATACATGTTCTAAATTCACTGCTTACTCTTAAGCTGCTTGTTCAAGTCTTGCTTTCAGTCCTGCAAGAGTTAGTCCTCGTGGTGTTTGAGCTTGACAGCTGTAAAATATTGTGGCATAAATCTCTTCTACAACTATAGAAATGTACCCAGTGCACGATGGGAAAATCCCAAAGACTAGAGGATATAACCCCAAGAATAAATAGCCCCTTAAACAGTCCTGCATGCTGGAGTTAGTTTTCCTTTACAAAATCAGCTAAAACAAGTCACTTATTGTCTAGAAATTTAAATATTGGCTTTGACCTGAATCTTACCAAATGTCTATCCATATTTTAAAATTTTCCTTGCTGACTGACATTAAAAAGTAATAAACCAGACACA